CCCGGAGGTCCCGCCCGCCGGCTGTGACGGGCGCCCGGGAGGAGGCCGCTCGCTTAAGCGGCTATCTGCTGCCTTCCCGAGGCCGGGCCCGGGGTTTAGGAGGGTGTGAGGGATAGCACCACGGCTGCGACTGGGAGGCTGGCTAGGTGCGGGAACGGGAGTAAAGATAACTCAAGGGCAAAACAGGCTCGGCTTCGGGAGGTGAAATTTAATTTATTGCCAATTAATAACAGAGTAGAAAAGTGGGGAATAAAACAAAATAAAACCACTTCCTTCCCGCCACCTCTGGCTCAGCATCACTCGAGCTCCCCGGGGGTTAGGCAATGGGGGTTGTGCTCAGTGCATAACAGTTTGAGGACTCCTCACTCTCTTCCCTTGCTCCAGCGTGGGGTCCCTCCCACGGGAGACAGTCCTCCACCAACTGCTGGCACCTGGGTCCTTCCCACAGTTCTTCATGAACTACTGCAGTGTGAGTCCTTTCCATGGTGAACAGTCCTTCATGGGCAGACTGCTCCAGCATGGGTTCCCCCACCAGGCCACAGGTCCTGCCAGCAAACCTGCTCCAACATAGGCTCCTTTACACAGGCTACAGCTTCCTTCAGAGCATGTCCATCTCCTGTGGTGTGAAGTTCTCCAAGGGCTGCTTCACTGTTGCCCTCCAATGGGTTGCAAGGGCACAGCCTGCTTCACCATGGTCTTCTCCAGAGACTATGGGGGAATCTCTGCTCTGGCACCTGGAGCGCCTTCTCCCCGCCTTCTGTTCTAACCCCAGTGTGTGAAGGGCTGTTTCTTTCATATTTTCTCACTCCTCTCTCACAGCATTTTTACCCTTTCTGAAATATGTTAGCATAGAGGCACCACCAGTGTTGCTGATGGGCTCAGATTTGGCCAGTGGTCAGTCCGTCTTGGAGCTGGCTCTGCCCAACATGAGGGCAGCTCCTGGTGTCTTCTCACAGAAGCCACCCCTGCAGCCCCCTGCTACCACAACCTGGCCACATAAGCCCGGGTCAAGGCAAGTCAAGGGATGTGATCACAGAATCACAGAATCACAGAA